TGCCCCACATCAGCGCTACAATAGGAAGAAGACATTAGCATTATAATAAACTTATAGAACAATTGTATATTAAGTTAGTTTTAAAAAACAAATTTACCTTGACTCATTTATGGGCAGGTAGAGCGCTGAATTGGCCACTTTCCGGTTAGTACCTAATCACCGAAGTACCCAAACATCCCGCTGTCACGCAACAGCCGCGGGAACAACCTGGACAGTGGGTCCAACTCGACCTCGCAACTGCTTGTCTCGACAAATGGTGGGTTGCAGTCAAGGATCTTCAGAAACCCCCTCTAGATGCGCAACGACTGCTATCCGTGCATCTGTTTGACGAGTGATGCAGTACACTCTTAAACAAAGGCCCAACCGTGGCCATATTTGGGCCGATCCCCCCTTACGTACGCATAATCCTGTCATCAAACTGGAAATCATCAGGGATGCAGTCCGACTGTTGTCCGGCCAATCGTTTTTCGCTTCGGTCCTTTCCTACACCACTAGCACGGCATTTTAATTAAAGTGCGATATGCCGAAACAAGCGTTTGCCCAACGCCACATCGGTGATAGCACCAGTCCGATACAACAATCACCATCACGATCTGTCGTAGCCTCATCAGTGCCAATATCTCATCGATGTGCTGCATCAATAAAAACAACAAGATAAGTATAGAAAACACAGGCAAAAATAGGAAAATTATGTGAAAAACCCACGAGTCCTCAGCCACATCCCCATCGTCAACAACTTCTGAAACCATTCCCGGGGATAATCCCCTGTCTTACACTTTATATGGCCATCAATTCCCGATCCATTGTAATAGGCATAAAGAGTTTTTTCCTTTCCTCTATTGGCCTATACAAATCGACATTTGAGTCCAATTCCCTTCCCCACTTCCTCCCCCTTCCTCCATTTTACATCCCCCTTCCTTCGCCTCCCAACTCCCCCTCTCCATTCACCTCACCGCCCCCTTCCACACACCAACCTCCTCCATTTCTGGTTTTCCTCCATTTGTTTCTTCATTTTCTTCTTCTTTACCTTGTCACTACCATGTAAGGCGATTTCACAAACTTGCTCTTTCGGCTCTCTCTTTTCAAGCCAGTTTGCACTTCAACCGCCTTTAATTCCTCACCACTTCCCCTCCATTGTACCAACTTCGCCCTCCATTGTACCTACTTTCCCTCCCACCTTATCCACTTTCTTCTCCCCCTTTTCATTGTTTCTTCCATCTTCTCAAGCTTTGCATAAACGGCTGTTGTAAAACTCTCAAACAGGCCTTTCATGAGGTCAACAACCTCATTCTCCCTACGCCAATGTCTCGGCAAAGCGGTACTTGTTGTACCGGTTTGCTGAGGCATACGAACCTCTTCCTCCCTCTTCTCCTCCTCATCCTCGGCCCCCGAGCTTCATTATCCTCAGCATCAACGCATTGTCAAGCATGGCCCTGCACTGCCATCACATCTGACCCTTTGGTCCCGCTCAGGCGGTCTACTGTTCATCCTTTCACCTCCATTACTCTGAAAGATGTGACATAGTCCTCTTCCGCTTCAATCCCAATAGCGGTCAAAAAGGGACGGACGACTCCCTGCAATAAGAAATAAAAATCAATCAGATTGAAGCAAACTAAAAAGCAACTGCATATTCAAAAGCTTAATCCTTCAATCTTACCCAACTGCTTGAATCTCAATCTCTAATTGGCCATAATCCCAATGGTTACGCTCTCCACATGCCACCCGCAACATCCTAGGAAATTGCTGTTGCACATTCACATTTTTACTCCTCCCCCCCCCTAGCGAAGACAGGATGGCCTCGTACATCAAGCCTACATTGTAAAAAACAGTCCATGTCATTATTCAACACACATATTATAAAAAATATAACATAGAGCTATTAATATTTACCTGCATTGCCCATGGGAAGCCAAACAATTATACGTGCTTGGTTTAGCCCCCGCCTCATTCGACATGCTTAGTGCCATGTCTGGTTTTTTCGGCTCTTGATGGTTCGCTCAATGATATCCGTCCCCACGGATAAGAATTAAAGAACCCCAGGTCGCTTACAAACACTCAACCAATCCTTTCTCAACAACTTTTGTTGAGTCACCAGCCATAAGATAGAATGTAAAACAATATCAAGCACACTTTTAATCTTCTCTGCATCACTAACACCGAACTGTATATAGCCTCTTCTCTAAAACTTTTCCTGTAATAGACTTTGCCCTTTCAAAACCTTTTACACAAAGTTTATGGCTCCCGCACTCGTCCTTACTGCGTCTGCCTCCGCCTTAGTTGGCACTCTTCCCGCATCCTAAGCCCGTCCCAACGCATACTCCATCAACCAAACCGTAGTGGCTTTCCCTCCACCACGAACCATATTTCATTTTTTGTTGCATTTTACTGAGTGCATCAACATGTATGCACTCCCTGCCCCCAAAATGACTTATTCAACTTTTTTCCGATCTTAAACTGACGAAATAAGTGCCACCAAAATCTCTTCACCATGCCTCATTCTAGCTAAATGGCCCTTATTCTGTCAAAACCTCCCAGCTCGACCTCACCGCACCCTTGCAGGAGAGGAGTGGTACCTTCCTTATAGGCTCCAACTCGTACTCTCACAGTTACGGTCCACACAACTCACAATCGATATAATAAAAAGTCATCAACAAAAATAAACCAAAACCACTGTAGTCGCTTAAGCGATCTCGGATCGCTTAAGAGATCTTTCTGTCTCATGCAAGATCGCTTAAGCGATTTTAAATCGCTTAAGCGACCAGAAGTTAACTGAGATCTCTTAATCTGTGATTCTGCCCAACCTAGAGCGCTTAGCGACAAAGAGTAAACACTATGATCTCTTAACCGATCTTGGTCTGGGCAGAATCATCTGCCCAGATCCAAATCGCTTAAGCGATCATTTTTATCGCTTAAGCGATCATTGCTGCGATCACGAGTAAAACAGAATAATCGCTTAAGCGATACCAAATGATCGCTTAAGCGAAATTACAAGCAACATTCCCAACTACTACCCTATCTTCGCCGGCCTTCTCCTCGTCACATGGATCCGCCGGCGACTCCCCTGGCTGAATTCCGCCGGAATCCACCTCCTTGCCTACTCTCGGCATCCTCCTTCTGGCCTGAATTCTCGCCTGACTCCTCGTCTTCAGACCCTTTTGCGGTTCTTCCTCTGTTTCTATGCCGCCGGGCGTCTCCTCTACATGTGACCACCTTCAATGGTCAGATGATCCACTGAGCAGCCATTGAACTGCTTGCGCCACCGGGAATCTAGGATTTGAAGTGGCGTTGGCCTTCCTCCTCATTGTCAGTGTCACTCATGGTTTTGGATTGAATTTGTGTCAAGTTTGCAGTTTCGATCGAAAATCTGGACTGTATCGCCGGAAATGGCACAGTTTTTCGTTTACGGTTAAGGAAATCGATTTTAGGGTTCAACAAATCGCGAAAATCGCGACTATATACTCGCCGAAAAATCGCGTGTATTCGTTTTAGGGTTCAAGAATTGTTTAAGGTGCAAATCAATTGGTGTTCGATGTAGAAATCGCGTCTCCCTTTCGTTCAAGAAATCGCGTTTTCAACTGATGAATTTCGATTAAGCGACGTGAATAGTTAGTGGGGCTTGTTTTGCGAAATTTCAAATTTTGAAAACTTTCATTATTTCTGATTCGCCCACATATTTTTATCTTTTCATTTTAACCCATTTTACGTGTTTAATTAATCCTAACTTAACCACGTCATCTCTCTAAATTAATAAAAAATTTGATGAACAGTTTCAAGGCCATTTCTTAATACATACTTGGGGACGAGCAGCTAAATTTCTCTACCAATTCATTCATTCGTTACAATGTTGTTTTTTTTGTCAAATGTTTGTCTTTTATAAATTTTCTTTCAAAGTAGTAATTAGATATCTATTTGAATGCAAGTTTTTATAGAATACACGATAGCATTACCTCTATCATTAGAGTTATTGACTTATTCATTAATCATTATAATTAAAGCACATGTCAAAACCCTAATAGCTAGATAGATTCCATAATTCATGTTTTCCAAAAATACTTCCACCATAAACTTGAGCCACCCTATTCGACCCCCATCTTCTTCTATGAACCACTAAAACCAAACTCTATATAGATATAAACAATCAACCTCTTTGAATATATCTCAAACTCATCAACAAAAGCAAAGACATCATCAAGAAGGAAAATGGTGATGAAAAGCAGAAGAAGCAGTGGATTGTTATTGATGTTCTTGGCATTGGGTGTGATGATTTGTGGGAAAATGGGTGAAGCATTTACGCCAGAATGTATGGAAGAATGCTTCCCCAAGTGCAAGGAACAAACCCAAGGAAGCGAAGCTGCTTGCGAAAAGGGTTGCCAACTTTACTGTAAACAAGTCGAAGGAAATGACAGTGGTGATGAAATTGGTGATTAACGTCGAGGCGTTGGCCTGGTTCAAGCAAGTTTATTTCTTTCTTTAGATTCAAACTTTGAGGTTATCTACCACAATAACATTATAATTTAACTGATTTTTTTTGTTTGTAAGATATTTAATAGACTTCGAGAATTAGTTGAGATGCACGCAAACTGGCCTAGTTATAAAAAAATAATAATAATAATAATTAGCTTCTTGATCATATCTATATGCCAATTGTCATCTCATCATATATATTGTGATTCATTTGTACTAATATTTCTTGATGCAAACTATTAGTTAATAGTTAGTTTCTTCCTTAATTTGATTTTGTTTTCAGGCTTTAAGCAAAATATATAGGGAGAGATATATGAGGTTGAATAAAAATAATTGTCTAAAAGTATCCCATATATATATATATATAGAAAGTCATTTAAAGAGTTTACATTGTTAAACTTATTTGATGGAGGTAAAATCTTCATAAACAATGAAGGAAAAGAAAAAAGCACAAAAATTAAGATCAGATTAATTGAGTACGCATATGTTTTCAATTGCTTCCGATTTTGCAACTTCTGTTTTCAGTTCATATTTATCTATTGATGAAGCAGTGACTTTGCAATCCTTGTTACATTCTCTTCAGTAAAACCATACTTCTTGAATGTATCTAAATAAGCCCCACTAGCCCCAAAATCCTTCACTGCAATCACCTTACCTTCAATGCCTACATACTCTTTCCAGCCCATTGGGGAACCAGCCTCGACGCTAACCCGCTTTGTAACGCTCAACGGCAATACCTTCTCCTTGTAGTCCTTCGGCTGCCTGTCGAAAAGCCGCCAGCACACAAGCGAAACCACCCTCACTCTTCTCCTTTCTTGCCTTAGAGTCTTGGCAGCCCACTCACAAAGACATAGTTCTGTTCCAGTTCCAATCACTATGATCTCTGGCAAATCATTTCCAGAATTGTCGCTTACAATGTACCCGCCTCTCCCAACTTTTTCAGCCAATGTTCCTTCCAAATTTGCCGCAACTTTTTGCCTTGACAATACAATCACACTAGGCACATCTCGATTAGCGATAGCGATTTTATAAGCACCAGCAGTTTCTTTTCCATCTGCTGGTCTAAAGACTAAAAGCCGCGGCACTGCTCTTAGGCCTGCAAGTTGTTCAACTGGCTGATGAGTTGGACCATCTTCTCCTAAACCGATTGAGTCGTGAGTCATGATGTAGATTACTCCAGCGTGGCTTAGAGCAGAAAGCCGAATGGAATTCTTCATGTAATCAGAGAATATGAGGAAAGTGGCCGCAAAGGGTATCAAACCACTGCCATGTAAAGCAATGCCATTTGAAATTCCAGCCATGGCGTGTTCACGAACTCCATAATGGATGTTTCGACCACAAGGGGAATTTGGCTGAGAGAAGTCACTGTGATCATGGAGATGGACCTTATTAGAGCTTGCAAGGTCTGCACTTCCACCAATCAATCCTGGAAGAACTTTAGCAAGCTGGTTCAAGCACTTCTCAGAGTACCCTCGAGTATCGTCAAGTGGATCAGATGCAGACCATTTCTGTCAATATTTCCAATGTACAAAGATTTGTTAAGACTTGGAGCAACATTTGTTGTTCTGAAAATACTTTGACAACTCTGTGCCTCTACAGAATGAAAAACATAGATACTTTCTCAATTTCTATTCTAACAACTTCTAATTAATCTCACATTATATACTACTAACTAAACTCGGAATTTTAAATGCTGCAGTTCATTTCAGGATTTAGTCAATCTCCAAAATTAAAATGAAAATTTCCTTCCCATAAAGTCAATTATTTACCGGCAGTGAACTTTCCCACCCAGGAAGCAGACCACCAGAAAGAAGAAGATTCAATTCGACGGCCTCCTGTGGGTACTTGCTTTTGTAACTAAATAGTTTAGAGTACCACTCTCTTTCCAGCCTTTCTCCATCGTCTTTCTGATTTCGCATCTCCCTGCGGCAAATTAAGTTTACCAAAAATGCTTTATAATCATGAGTTTCTTCTTTCAGAAAATGAAATGCCTTTCTAATTTTTCTCTCTCATTCCTGATGGTGGAAAATTAAACTAAACCTGTAAACCATAGGAATGACATGGAATGGCTCGCGATCACCCCATTTAACTTTTTCTCGCATCATCTTCACTTCATTATCATCAAAGGTACCATGATGAGCTTTAGCTGTTCCTTCTTTTCCTGATAATTTGCCAATCAGCGTCTTTACCTGAAAGAAAAAACGTGAATCATATTTGCCGGTTAAAATAAGCAAATGCAGTATACACTAAATATTAGCCAGTCCAATAGCTAATTCTTTCTTAAAAAGGTGTTTGTCTAAGCTTATACGCTGGTCAAACTTACTTATAAGCTCTAAAATTAAACTGACCTGTTTGTTTATAATTTTTTTGAGCTTATAAGTTGAGCTTATAAGCTAAAAAAAATAAGTTGGGGGGGGGGGGAGGTACTTTTTTTTTTTTTCTTATAAGCACTTTGTTTATAAGCTAGTTTGACCAAGTATATTACCATATTATCCTTGTTTAATTTTAAAATTCCATAGTATGTCACTGTTTAATGTAGTACATTTTTTAGTAATTTTATAATAAAATGTACTTATAAGCCACATTTTACCAAACACGTCAATTACTTATCAGTCACTTATAAGTATTTTAACCAAACACGTAATTGCTTAAAATTTCAAATACTTATAAGTTAATTTTAGCTTATAAACAATAGCTAATTTTCATAAGCTCAGACAAACACCCTAAAAGTAGTGTCTAGAGTACTGTGCACTGAGCCTTTTAGATTGGAACAATGAACCGAGTCTCTGAAATGATTATGTCAGCGATGAAAACAAATCAGTGGCTATGCAGAAAACAGAAGCTGTCTAGATCATTAATGAAATCACAAACCCGGATGAGAGTTGGTTTTTCAGTCTCATCAATGGCAGCGCGAAGTACTTCCTTGAAGGAACACATGCTCTCATGTATGTTCTCCACTGTAATTGTGCTCCATCCAAGTGCCCTGAATCGCGCTGATATATCTTCAGAAAATGCGAGACTAGTTGGTCCATCAATGGTATTTTGATTGTCATCATAAATTAATGTAAGCTTGTGGAGTTTCCAATGAGCAGCCAAAGATGCAGCTTCATGTGATATTCCTTCCATAGCACACCCATCACCCATAATGCAATATCTATGACGAAGAATTAATTAGTCATTGATGTTACTCTATCATACCTGAGTTATGCCATAGAAGATCATTTAATTTATGACTTACGTCCGATGGTCCACGATAACAGCATCAGGCTTATTGAATCTAGCAGCTAAGTGAGCCTCTGCTAAGGCAAGACCAACCGCATTTGCTACACCTTGTCCAAGGGGGCCTATGCCAGAACCAAGACTCAAGTTTTATAATGAACTGCAGACAAATTAAGAAAGAACAATAGTTTCCCAGTCTAACTATCTAGTCACTCTCTACATTCAGTTGACTCCCTTTAATTGCTTGATGCTAATAGTTAATGAACAGTGTCAATTCCTTCAATCATGTATATGGTCCATCCAAAGTGGCACAATTTGTTCTTCATATATGTTTTTTTGCTTGGAAAAAATAATTCTGACAAATTTTAATTTTACCTGTTGTGACTTCAATGCCCTCTGTCACAACGTTCTCAGGGTGACCCGGTGTCCGACTTCCTAGCTTGCACAGGCGTTTCAGGTCTTCCAGCTGAAATTGAAAAATTCTATAAATTACATCAATCAAGATTTTCACTTGTTCATAAAATTGAAGCTTTGGAATTATACCTGAACAGACTGAAAGCCGGCGAGATGAAGACAAACGTACTGAAGCAAACAGCCATGGCCAGCGCTCAAGACAAATCTATCCCTGTTAAACCATTTAGGGTTGAAAGGATTATACTTCATAAAATGTCTGTAAAGCACATACCCAACTTCTGCCATTCCAAGCGCCATGCCGGGGTGGCCTGCCTTTGCATTTTGCACGGCGTCCACTATCAGCATCCGAACATTGTCCGCACATCGCTTGTCAACCATTTCCTTAAACGACTCATCATCATCGTCGTCATCTCCATCATGATGAAACCCGAAAACTTGTTTGAGTTCTTGCTGCCAAGAGCGTTTACAGTGGTTTGCGAGATCACCAGTAGTAGCGCTGGTTTTGAGAGAATTGTGGGGCTTGAATATAGAAGCTGCGGGCGTGTTGCTTTTGCCGTTGTTATTGTAGGAGATGTGTTTGGTTGGAAGAAAGAAGGGTTTGATAAGAAATGAAGAGATTGCCAAGGCCATGGAGAACCAAACGGATGTGAAATTCAAAGCTCAGTTTACGAGAACATGATAGATGAAAGAGAAGGAAGAAGATGAGTCGTGGCGAAGTGAGCAGAGATTAAGAAGAGCGTAAAGATTTATACGAAATGAATTTGACTTTGTGTATTTGGAGATAGATAATAGCTACACTTGTTATGCATGCAGAGAATCAAGCAATGAGCTGCCTTTTTTTTTTTTTTATTCTATTGAAAATAAACAAGGAGTTTTTTTATATCTTTAATAGAATAAAAGGAATATTGTTTGTTTTTATCAATTTTCACTTAAATCAATTTATTAAATCTTTGATTGGTTATTTTATATAAATTATCACTTATTTTTAGAGAAATTCATTTAAACAAATTAAATTCTATAACTTAAATCTAAACACTGAAATTCCTTTAAGGATAATTAAATTAATTACTTTAATATGTCCTTATTCATATAAATATAAATTTATATAAAATATTAAATAAGATCTAAAATTTATTTATTTAAAAGCTTTAAAATATTTTGGTCTATGGTGATGGATTCGTCGGAATCGCTGTAGACACCTATTACCATTTTCTATATTAAAATTTTTATATAGTTAATTATACTAACCTATTTAATATTAATAATTATATATTACTTAATTATAAATTGATGGTATGATTATAACAAGATTAGTGTAATTAATATAAAGATATATTATAATATGTATATAGAAACTTTTATTGACATCATTAATTAAAAAAAAAAAAATCACATATCTTAATCCTATTAAGTATTAGGTGATACTTTTTAAGTTCTCCCAAAAAAGAATTGAGTTTTTTTTTTTTTTTTTTTTTTGGTATCAAGTGTTCGGGTCAGCTTGTGCTCCCTTCAACTAATCCTCCAACCTGAAATTATCGATCAAATAAGAGCTCTCGTGGCCATATCTATTAGGGATCAAAGTGTCGAACTCAAGACCTCTTGAGTAATATATCCAAGAGTTTTAGTTTACCACTCAACCATCCATGGTGGTTAAGAAAAATTATAAAAGAGTTGAATTGGAGGGTCTTTTCTGCCCTTAAAATTACATATCCATCTTTATTGAACTTTACTTCTCCTGAATGGTTAACTCTAAATTCAATTCATTATTCATATTTAAAAAATTATGACAATGATATTACTTGAATTTACTATTTTACCCTTAACACCATTCAAAGTGGGATATTGATAAAAAAAAAATTGGGATTAAAAAATAATTCCTTTTAAGAAATAAAAGCAGCATGTCGGTTCATGGGAGGGGGCCCAAATGCACAGGATACACAACATAAACCATATGCTATGAACGAGGAATTGAGAGAAGAGAAGACGATTCCCATGTGTTCCCTCAACTGTCTTCTCAAAATTTTGTTTTTGAGTAGAGATTTTCAAAGGATATATGAATAAATTATGTGCCTGTTGTTGGTGTAAAGATAATGTATAAATTTGCCAAACTTGGAAAGTTGTATTCAAACCTACCAGATTTTGGAATTATTTGATATGATATGAGAGAGACCTTGCAACCTCCAACCATGGTTGGCCGCCCATCTCAGCATATTCTAAGCCAAGTCGGTTTGCTCTCCAGGTTTTAGCTTCACAGATGGAGTGACAAATTTTGAAACGTACATTTAGCTAGAGTTCAACTGCTCTTATAAAACAAATTTATGATCAGTTTGTGATAAGTTCTTTTATTAGTTTTAGTTTCCCCATTTGATGCCCATATTCAGAATATATTCCAGCGTATATGTCCGATGCTCCCTACAACTTCAACTAAACCATTCATAAGAAGCCTGAAAATCGATACTCTGAAATAATGAAGATCTAGTAGTATCCATCACTTATTAAGAGTAATATTGCAACTGTGATAGAATTGTCCAACATGCTGCCAATCTTCTTATTTCTCTCTAATATCTTATCCCTTCAGGCATGTGAAGTGTGGCATATATATATATAACTTCGAAGAATTTTTACAATTTCCCTACATAATCTCTTAATATGTAAGATATCACGTGCATTTATTTCGTACAATATGTTGCCAAGTTGCAATATAGAATAGTCCAATTTTATTTCAGATCGTTTACGCGTATCTCAACTAATTCTTGTGACGTATTACACTCAAAATTTATCACCATTTATCACAAAGATAATTAAGCCTACAGATCACTGATCAAAACTGGCCTAAAGTTTATATACGTTCTTGCTTTCATAACATGTATAGGAAAATTTTGGACTCTTGAGTTGAATTATATATGGATGGGTTTATTTACATATTACAATGATATCAAAACAAGATACATCTTAAAATTGGAGTTATTTTTCAATATGATCTAAAAAAAAAAAAAAAAAAAAAAAAACTAATATTAATTCAACCCTCTCACATTTAATAAATAATAAAGATAAGTTATATAGTCAGTGGCATAATTAAAATAATAACGTCATGACTAGATAATTTTTCTATAAAATGAATAAGAGAGTGCACATATATATATAAAAAATAATTAAAAATGAATCATATGTTAATAAGTAATATTCTATATAAACTCTCTCAAACAAACGTGTTTTAAGATAATTAGGCGAGTTTAAATTAAAGATAAATTAATAATTTAATAGATATTACCTGTCAAAGTCAAACATACAGAATTGTCTTATCACATTTCAGTTTGCAGGGAATAATTTATATATATAGCATTACTCTATGTTAATTAATGAGTAATACAACATTACTTTGCATACAAAATTTATATATATGTAATAATACTCTAAAATTTAGAACTATCTCATATTCAAATATCACTTACTGAGTAAAAATCTCTCGTATAATGACTTAATAAGGTTTTCTTGATTGATGCTTCATTGAATTTATATATTAATTTCAAAATCCAATTCTGATTACCGCATTATAAGACCTTACAATAGAATTCATGTTCACCTTTTAACGTGATAAAACTTGGAAACTAGCTTCCAAACTACAAATGGTGAAAATGACATACAGCTATAAAAAAGAATCCTGGTTCGCATTTGCATCCATCCCATCACTATCATTTCTACTGTTTCCCACTGCTCTTCCCTCTCTCTCTCTCTTTCATGGAGATGAAGTTTCTGAAAGCAAGTTCTCTAAATTTTCGGAAACTGGTTCGTTATACAACTTCAGAGATTTGGTATTGCTTCCTGCACAATGAAGAATATTTAATCCCCGAAGATGTCCCAAAAGGTCATGTAGCTGTATATATAGGGGAAGAATGCAAAAGATTTGTGATCAACCTCACCTTGCTGAAGCATCCTCTCTTCCAGGATTTGCTCGATCGTGCTGAAGAGGTGTTTGAATTCTCCTCAGGATCAAAGCTTCGTATTCCTTGCAATGAAAACTGTTTCAGAAGTATTCTGTATTTGGTTGGCTCTCGAGTAGGAGATGATCAAAGGAGGTTCTCCTTTTGTTTTTGAGTTGCATATATGCAAGCCCTGATAATATATTAATTATTAAGAATTAAGCTAATTAAATTAATAATTGATTTAGAATATGTTGGTTTGGCAAAAGTGAAATATCAGTATTTGATTCTGCTCTCTCCCAATTATTGAATTGATTGAACACATAATTATTAATCCTATTTTTGTTTGGTATTATTTATCAGTAATTCATTTAATTTTAGTTTAAAGTTTTCATCAAATTTTATTTTTTAAATTAAAGGAAATTTTTGTTCACAATAAATACAGTATTACACTTCATGCCAATATCAAATGTTGTCGATTGAAATTATGAAAAAGGAAAAACAATTAAGGTTAGTTGAATCGTTTTATTAGATAAAGAGATTTGTAAGGATGCCAATTTTTGTATTTGTTTATGAGGATTTTTTTTTTTTTAAATGGTATAGTTAAATAATATATTCTTTATCTTCGTAAACCAGCCTTGATCTGGAAATAAAGCCCGGGCGTAAGTATAGTTTATGAAATTTTATAAAGTCCTCTAAAAAATATTACATCTAGGGGTGTGCAAAACTGGAAATCCAATCTTGTTTTGCATTTTTCTGATCCAATCCGAAAAGTCGGATCAAGATGAAACCTGATCCGAATCCGATCTGAATTTTGTCTGATTCAGTTTTGATCTGATCTGAATATTTGGATTGGATAACCTGGATATTCAGTTCCATCCTAATTTCATGGAAAATATCAATTTAATCGCTAAAATTTTGCATTATTCTTTTGTATCCTTTGTTACATCTGCATTTCATTACATTTTGACCCTCAAAGCTGTCATCGTATTTTAGAACGGTCCACATACTTTACCACTTTTCATCTAATACACCAAAATAACTTCTTAAAACTTGTAGTTATGGGCAAAACCGGATCGGATCTGGATATCCGGTTTCTTTGCAGAGCCGATCCGATATCTGATCTAAAAATCTGAATCTTCCAAAAATTGATATCTGAATTCGATTCGAATTTCTAGATATTCGATTTTTTCCTTTTCAGATCGGATATTAGACTTTTTTGCACACCCCTAATTACATCCAACCACCTCTTACTTATGGAATATGGAGTATTGTACAAAAAGAAAAAAATGTTTTTAATAATTGAGGTGTTTAAGTCAACTTATCCGTATCTCAACTAATTTTCAAGAGGAGCTATCCTATAACAACTCAAAGAGAGTTATCCTATAGCAACCCACTGCCATGACCCCTTGAGTAAATCATAAGTAAATCACTGTTTTAAAACCTGGACCGGTCCGACTGGGACTCGGGCTCCACTCTAATCTGGATTATTATTAACCCTTTAATACTAAAAGAGCCACTTTGGACCAGTGTTACAATACAAACCATTCGGTCCGACCAGCCCAAAACATATTTCGATCCGTTAATTGAGCACTAAAAAAAAACCTAATCTTAATTCCCCTACATCGGTTTCATTCACCATAGGCCATTTCAGTCGCCGCAACCTCTGTTTTAAAAAGGGGATCGGACCTGTCCGATCAAGACCCGGTAGCTTCTCCAATCCGGTTTAGGTCTTAGGGGATTTTTATAATATTTTAAAATTATAAGGGTTAATTTATAATTTTATAGAGGTGTTTTGGAGATATGTCAAAAGTTCAAAGATTAATTGATAATTTTTTGAGGTATTTTTTAAATAAATAAAAATTTTAGGGACTAGTTTGAATTTTTTTAAAAGAATTTTTGTAATATATTAAAATTTAAGGGATTAATAATAATTTTTTAAAAATAAAATTATCGCTGACGTCGTCGATCCAATCGGTTGAACCGGTTGACTCGTGACCTGGACAGCAAAACGGGTTGCCCTTTGGTCCAGGTTTTAAAACAATGGCTGCAACTTCCATTTTCATCTTCTCTGAAGAGTAAAGTTTACACTTACTTCCTGATCTTCTTCATCTTCTTCAACTTACTTCCTCCATCGAAATCCAATCTTCTTCATCGGAATTGAAGACTTGGAATTCGTTAACGAAATCGTGACCACAGCACTGCATCAACTTCGTTTCGCTCTTAGACAATAGAGTAGACGCTCAGTCCCTCATCAGGATTTTGAGCTTGCTCATCATCATGTTGAGTAATTATGGATTCACGAATCAACTCCTTTACCATTGCTTCAACACCCATTGTTTTTGTAAAAAAAATCGTTCTTCTTCTACGCATCTCTTTCAACTTCCTCAACCTTCTGCTTCTACACTTGCTTTCTTCTCTCTTTGTTTGCCTCCATCACAGTCACATATCTTTTGAGTTATGTTGGAAATTTTCTAAAGTATTCATAGATGCCCTCACCCACACATGGCTGGAGTTAAGCAGTGCCTGTCCTACCTCTCACATGCCAACAATTATGAGCGTACACGTATCATCTAATAATTTAAAATGATAAATGATTTGAGGTGTGTAGGTGTAATTGGGAATGGCCTTCATTTTCCAACAAAACATAAAGGCTCCATGAGTTGTAATAAAAACCCATTTTGCTATGAGTCCATTACTCTATTTGCATTTTTAAATTCTACACAACTAAATAGGCTCAAAAAAATCTTTCAATCTCATCTCACCGGTCCAACCGGTTGACCTGTGACCTAGTCATTTTGTTAGGTCTTACAACAGGTCGGTTTTTAAAACAGTGAGGTAAATGTGTTTTCTTTATGTCTAGCGGATAATTGAACCTAAGGTTGTAGATTCTACCCATTTACAGTCCCTTTGGTTCACCCTTATTGTTTGGCTATCCATGGGTGGCCTAATGGTAAAAGAGCAAAAATAAATTTCATGAGCTTTTGAGTTCGAGTCCTCATAGACCTAATAGAGATAACTACTGAGAGATTTACTTAGTCGTCAACTTCAGGGTCCTAAAAGATTAGTTAAGGTGCATGTGAGTTGACTCGAATACCCTTGATCACAAAAAAAAAAAAAAAAAAAAACAATATTCGTTGTTTATGATTTCAATCTCCGCTTTTGTAATTTTTTCACTCATAAAATGTTTAAAATGCTGTTCGTTTATGATTTTTATTTTTGTTTTAAAAAATAGAAAACACGCAAACAACTCCTCAAAGCTCATAGAAAATGAACAGATTGAAAAGACAAGCATATAATCAATTTAGCCTAAGTGATATTTAACCTGTCGTTTCCTTAATAAAGAATTTGACTTTTGCTTGGAACCGACAGCCATTCGCTTTTGAATCGACATGTCGACGTCGTACGTTGTTTTCAAACATTAATTTTCTTCATCTCAAAAATTATGTTCATGATATTCATATATACAATTAATTAATATGAATCAAAGAAATCCAAAACTGACTTGCAAAACCCAGTTTTCACAACCATCCTTCACTCGTAATAAAGCATTATGCAAGATGGCTTGATTATACTACTACACAAAGAATTATCAAAATTCATTGGCACCATAAAATTGGTTCGCCATTTTAGATATCATAAAATATAAACCGTTCTATTTGTAAAAAAATAATGTCACACAAATTCTCACCGGAAATTTAACAATCAAAGTAGATAAAACTCCTTCACCATATATATGGGTTCAGGAGCAAATAATACAGGCGGCCTCCATGGAAAGAAACTAACTCTACCAGAACTGGAAAACATGAATTCTGGGCCATCAGGAATAATAAGCCTAATTGAAATCAGGCTTTTCAGGACAAGTGCATCCTGACCTTTGAATAACGACATTTGCCGCATAGCAACCAGCCCTTACGCAATCTTCAATGGGCTTCTCTAGAATCAATTGTGACAAAAATCCCCCAACAAAAGCATCACCTGCAACAAGTATATGACAATTAGACGAGAAAACTCCAAGTTCATGACTAACTATAACTGTTCTTTTAATTATTATCATATTGGTACTTAGATGTACCAAATGTGTCCAAGAACTATCTTTAACATGATGAAATTCGCATTGAAGATTGCATTTAGAAGAGCAGTTTTTTTTATGTTCCCATGATGAAAGACTTGAGAAGGACACTAGTTGAAATGAATACCTGCTCCATTGGTATCGACCAACTTTTCCTTGGGTAATAAGATCACAGGGAATAATTTCACCTTCCCATCCTCAGCAACTACAACAGGATCTGCACCTTGAGTGATCACAGTGATTCTCTTGTGTGTTCCAGAGGCTTTGGGCCACTGAGAGATCTTCAGTGCAATCTCCTCAACATTATCAGTCTGAAAATACAAAATCACCCAAAAAGTTAAACTGGGAGTGTTAAGAGAAGAGTTCTCAGATTGAACAAAACTAACACCAAGAGAGTATTACCTGCCATCCGTGAACCTTCGAGAAGGTTCTAGCTTCTGTCTCATTTCCAAACACATAGTCCATGTATCTGTATACACGAAAGGCATGTCAGTTTTGCAGTGATAACAGAGGTTTTTTTGTAAGGAATTGGGCAGAAAGCTTACGGCAGAGCTTTCTCTTGGGCATCCCTGAAGAACTCACAGATAAATGGAGCAGAGAGGTTCATCATGAAGACCTGCAAATGTATGACAAGAATGCTTATGCTATTGGCGAGAAATAAGTGCAACATCTAAGAATCTAAATGACTTCAGTTTTTATTTATCAGAAAGAAAAAGATTTAAACTAATTTTACCTTGTTATTTGCTACTGCATGTTCAGCAACAAGTTGAATGGACTCGGGAGACACAGTAAGGAAAAAGCCAGCAATGTAGTAATACTTTGCCTTTTCAACTGTTCAAATCAGAATTTATACAAAACTCAGCGGTATTAGCCAACAAAATGGCAAGAGCTGAATGTTGAAGTAACAAAAGAAAGCAATGGATATACCTAATGCCCAATTTTCTGGTTTCTTCAAGTGATCAGCTTTGTAACAATTTGCAGCTGACAAGTTGGCCACAAGTGACCTGCACAAGGATTTTGAAGTTATAATGATACTCTAAGCATGGCAAAATTGACTTGTATAATGAAATGTAAAAAGATTGATGACAATAAGCCACTGGTTCTTTGTCTGATGAAGCCATGTGTATGACTGGTTTGGGATTTTTAAAATGGAGCCATGTTTGCTCTCTCAATGGCACAAACCTACAACATTTTCTACCAATTTCAACTGGCGTACCCCAGAAGAATAGAGGTACTACATGCAACAAATAAATTGTACATAATATGCTCTCCCGATATGACTTTTATGAAGACCAAATACTAAAAGGAAAAACATTAGCATGCAAGAAACAGTTTGCATTACCCAATGACAGGAAGCAATTCAATATTTTATCACCGTTGGATATTTAATCATACAATTAACATTCCTACACTTTTCACAAATAGTCTAGGCAAAAGGTATATAATAAACATTTTCATTTCGGTTTTTGGAATAAGATGATTTATTGAATAAATAAACCACATAGTTACATAAATAACCCTACTTTGGCAAGTACAATAACTCAAGATAGGACACTCAATTTTGGCAAATTCAGTCCGGTACTAAGGTAGGGATAGCAGAGGCAGGCCAACATGTAACTAGTGGGCATCTAAGACTTTCAAAATCAAATTTTTGAAAGGAGACAAAATGAACTCAAATTCTAAAATATAGGTCAAGAGAAATAAAACCAAATGATGGGGCGACAGGAATTTCTATAAATTGAAAGTTTATACATATAATTTGCACTTGTATTAGAATGGAAGAAATAATTAAATCACAAGTGTCATTGTTAAGGAAAAGAAATCAGATTTTACTCTAAAATAAAATTTGCAGCAGGATTTCATAGTTGGAAAGACATGAAAAATACCTCTCACCGCCAACAACACAAACAGCACAAGTTCCAGTTGGTGTGCTCTCATCCTCAAGATAATGCACCTAATTACATAGCATGATTATATCACCATAACCAAAAAAATTAAAAAAAAAAAAAAAAAAAAAAAAAAAAAAAAATAGTGAAGAGTGAAAAGAACAGGAAAAGAAACATACATTAAGGCCGGCTTGCTTTGAGTTTTTCTTCATCTCCTCACCAAATTTATCCTTCCCAATGCAGCCAATGTAACTAGTGGCACCAGGAATTTGGAGCATCCACTGTAAGACACCAAAAACCCAATAAGCTCTGGATAACAACAATAAAAGTAAAATACAAGATTTTGTCAATTAAACAAACAAACAACCTGAGCAACTTTGATTGAATTTTGTGTAGCACCTAAAAATTACAATGAAGGACACCCGATCAGTTGACATATAACATGATCCAATAATGTGCAAGCTTTAATTATTAAGTATGGCATCAAATTAAGATCAAAGAAATAGCCACTTTACCTCCAGCAATATACTCCACATTAGATTTGGAAGCCATTTCATCATACCTTGAAAAAACCATCCACATTAAATCAGTTAAGCATATTTCAGTGGCTACAGTAACAAAGAATTTAACGCTTTGTTCATTTTCATTTTCAACTTCTATTTTTGTCTTGAAAAACGTGTGATACCATAGAAAATTACATAATATAACTAAAAAATGGAAAATATGACTCCACCATTTTATAGAATTGATAAGAAAAGCATGCTCATAAAAATTCAAACTTTTTAATTTCATTTTCAAATTCACTTTTTTAAAAACAAAAAACACAGAAAATAGTAACCACTAACTTTCCCATTAAATAAATTATATCATCATATTGAGCTAAGCATTTATCATTATTGAAATAATAACAAATAAATAGAAAACTTACATGGGCAAGTGCTTGTCTTCAGCAAGAATGGCATTGTTCAACTTGATCTCATATCTGTTAACAAAATACAAAATTAAACAGATCCACAATTGAAAAGAGTTGAACACAAAGAAAATTAGCATGCAGCTACAGATCTATCATTAAGAATATCAGATCTAAAATCACAAAACAGGAAAACCCACTAATTAAATGTAAAACAAGAAATGGAAATTGAGGCAACTTACTTAGACAAGAACTCCTCATCCACAACAGCTGAAATATCAAGAAGTGGGTTACCCATGCCCAACAAAATCCCCTCGAACGCCATTGAAACTGAGAGTAGTCAGAAATCGGTTTGGTTGGAGCGTTCCGATTAAACGAAGTGAAGGTGAAAAGCGAGATCTGAGTGTGAAGAAGAGTGGTGTTTGTGATAAATATATAGGAATGGAGTGTCGCTATTGAGTGTGGTTTATGAAGGGTATTTTTGGTAAACCGTCAGTGATCGCTCACCAACCCCCGACCCACTTTGCTTTGTTTTGATACTTGTTCTGCTTTCCTTGGGGTTGGTAAAGGTTGTTTGTTTTACTGTTTTGCCCTCGTTATCACTTTTTCTTTATGACGAAATTATCTTTTACTATTTTGTTATTCTAATCAAGAGAAACTTTTACATTTACGTCAATTTTTTTAAAATCGGACCGGATTTTAAACCGGATAAAGATCCGATTTCATACAAAATCACCCAAAAAGTTAAACTGGGAGTGTTAAGAGAAGAGTTCTCAGATGAACAAAATAACACCAAGAGAGTTTACCTGCCATCCGTGACCTTCGAGAAGGTTCTAGCTTCTGTCTCATTTCCAAACACATAGTCCATGTATCTGTATACACAAAGGCATGTCAGTTTTGCAGGATAACAGAGGTTTTTTTGTAAGGAATTGGCGAAGCTTACGGCAGAGCTTTCTCTTGGGCATCCCTGAAGAACTCACAGATAAATGGAGCAGAGAGGTTCATCATGAAGACCTGCAAATGTATGACAAGAATGCTTATGCTATTGGGAGAAATAAGTGCAACATCTAAGAATCTAAGACTTCAGTTTTTATTATCAGAAAGAAAAAGATTTAAACTAATTTTACTGTTATTGCTACTGCATGTTCAGCAACAAGTTGAATGGAATCGGGAGACACAGTAAGGAAAAAGCCAGCAATGTAGAATACTTTGCCTTTTCAACTGTTCAAATCAGAATTATACAAAAACAGCGGTATTAGCCAACATGGCAAGAGCTGAATGTTGAAATAAAAAAAAGAAAGCAATGGATATACCTAATGCCCAATTTTCTGGTTTCTTCAAGTGATCGCTTTGTAACAATTTGCAGCTGACAAGTTGGCCACAAGTGACCTGACAAGGATTTTGAAGTTATAATGATACTAAGCATGGCAAAATGACTGTATATGAAATGTAAAAGATTGATGACATAAGCCACTGGTTCTTTGTCTGATGAAGCACTGTGTATGACTGGTTTGGGATTTTTAAAATGGAGCCATGTTTGCTCTTCAATGGCACAAACCTACAACATTTTCTACCAATTTCAACTGGCGGCCCCAGAAGAATAGAGGTACTACATGCAACAAATAAATTGTACATAATATGCTCTCCCGATATACTTTTATGAAGACCAAATACTAAAAGGAAAAAAAATCTGAATCTTCCAAAAATTGATATCTGAATTCGATCAGAATTTCTAGATATTCAATTTTTTCAAATCAAATATTGGATTTCATATTTTTTTTTGCACACCCCTAATTACATCCAACGACCTCTTACTTATGGAATATGGAGTATTATACAAAAAGAAATTTTTTTTTTTTTTTAATAATTGAGGTGTCTAAGTCAGCTTGTGCGCATCTCGACTAATCTTCAAGAGGAGTTATCATATAACAACTCAAAGAGAGTTATCCTATAGCAACCCACCGCCATGGCCCCCCGAGTAAATCATAGGTAAATCACTATTTTAAAACCCAGATCGGACTGACTGGTCCAATCGGGACCTGGGCTCCACTCCGGTCCGGATTATTATTAACATGTTAATACTAAAAGAGTCGCTTTGGACTAGTGTTACAGTACAAACCGTCCGATCCAACCGGCCTAAAACTTATTCTAGTCCGTTAATTAAGCCCTAAGAAAAACCTAATCTTAATTCCCTTGCATCGGTTTCATTCGCCATAGGCCATTTTAGTCGCCGCAACTTCCATTTTCATCTTCAAACCGTAGCTTCCATTTTCATCTTCTCTAAAGTGTAAAGTTTACACTTCCTCATCTTCTTCAACTTACTTCCTCCATCGAAATCGAAGACCTGGAATTCATTAACAAAATCGTGACTACAGCACTACGTCAGTTTCGTTTCGCTCTTAGACAGTAAAGTAGACACTCAGTCCATCATCAGGATGTTGAGCTTGCTCATCTCGGTCATCATCATGTTGAGTAATTTTGGATTCACGAATCAGCTCCTTTACCATTGCTCCAACACCCATTTTGCTATGCGTCCATTACTCCATTTGCATTTTTAAATTCTAGAAAACACAATTAAATAGATTCAAAAAATTCTTTCAATCTCATCTCACCGGTCCAACCGGTTGACCCACGACCTGGTCACCTTGCTAGGTCTTACAACAGGTCGGTTTTTAAAACAGTAAGGTAAATGTGCTATCTTTATGTCCAGCAGTCAGCAGATAATCAAACCTAAGGCTGTGGGTTTTACCCATTTACAGCCCCTTTGGTTCACCCTTATTGTTTGGCTACCCATGGGTGGCCTAATGGTAAAAGAGTAAAAATAGGTTTCATGAGCTCTTGAGTTCGAGTCCCCATAGATCCTAATAGAGATGACCACTGAGAGGTTTACTTAATCATTAACTTTAGGGTCCTGAAAGACAATATTGGTTGTTTATGATTTCAATCTCCGCTTTTGTAATTTTTTCACTCATAAAATGTTTAAAATGCTGCTCGTTTATGATTTTTATTTTTGTTTTAAAAAATAGAAAACACGCAAACAACTCCTCAAGGCTCATAGATAATGAACAGATTGAAAAGACAAGCATATAATCATTTTAGCCTAAGTGATATTTAACCTGTCGTTTCCTTAATAAAGAATTTGACTTTTGCTTGGAACCGACAGCCATTCGCTTTTGAATCGACATGTCGACGTCGTACGTTGTTTTCAAACATTAATTTTCTTCATCTCAAAAATTATGTTCATGATATTCATATATACAATTAATTAATATGAATCAAAGAAATCCAAAACTGACTTGCAAAACCCAGTTTTCACAACCATCCTTCACTCGTAATAAAGCATTATGCAAGATGGCTTGATTATACTACTACACAAAGAATTATCAAAATTCATTGGCACCATAAAATTGGTTCGCCATTTTAGATATCATAAAATATAAACCGTTCTATTTGTAAAAAAATAATGTCACACAAATTCTCACCGGAAATTTAACAATCAAAGTAGATAAAACTCCTTCACCATATATATGGGTTCAGGAGCAAATAATACAGGCGGCCTCCATGGAAAGAAACTAACTCTACCAGAACTGGAAAACATGAATTCTGGGCCATCAGGAATAATAAGCCTAATTGAAATCAGGCTTTTCAGGACAAGTGCATCCTGACCTTTGAATAACGACATTTGCCGCATAGCAACCAGCCCTTACGCAATCTTCAATGGGCTTCTCTAGAATCAATTGTGACAAAAATCCCCCAACAAAAGCATCACCTGCAACAAGTATATGACAATTAGACGAGAAAACTCCAAGTTCATGACTAACTATAACTGTTCTTTTAATTATTATCATATTGGTACTTAGATGTACCAAATGTGTCCAAGAACTATCTTTAACATGATGAAATTCGCATTGAAGATTGCATTTAGAAGAGCAGTTTTTTTTATGTTCCCATGATGAAAGACTTGAGAAGGACACTAGTTGAAATGAATACCTGCTCCATTGGTATCGACCAACTTTTCCTTGGGTAATAAGATCACAGGGAATAATTTCACCTTCCCATCCTCAGCAACTACAACAGGATCTGCACCTTGAGTGATCACAGTGATTCTCTTGTGTGTTCCAGAGGCTTTGGGCCACTGAGAGATCTTCAGTGCAATCTCCTCAACATTATCAGTCTGAAAATACAAAATCACCCAAAAAGTTAAACTGGGAGTGTTAAGAGAAGAGTTCTCAGATTGAACAAAACTAACACCAAGAGAGTATTACCTGCCATCCGTGAACCTTCGAGAAGGTTCTAGCTTCTGTCTCATTTCCAAACACATAGTCCATGTATCTGTATACACGAAAGGCATGTCAGTTTTGCAGTGATAACAGAGGTTTTTTTGTAAGGAATTGGGCAGAAAGCTTACGGCAGAGCTTTCTCTTGGGCATCCCTGAAGAACTCACAGATAAATGGAGCAGAGAGGTTCATCATGAAGACCTGCAAATGTATGACAAGAATGCTTATGCTATTGGCGAGAAATAAGTGCAACATCTAAGAATCTAAATGACTTCAGTTTTTATTTATCAGAAAGAAAAAGATTTAAACTAATTTTACCTTGTTATTTGCTACTGCATGTTCAGCAACAAGTTGAATGGACTCGGGAGACACAGTAAGGAAAAAGCCAGCAATGTAGTAATACTTTGCCTTTTCAACTGTTCAAATCAGAATTTATACAAAACTCAGCGGTATTAGCCAACAAAATGGCAAGAGCTGAATGTTGAAGTAACAAAAGAAAGCAATGGATATACCTAATGCCCAATTTTCTGGTTTCTTCAAGTGATCAGCTTTGTAACAATTTGCAGCTGACAAGTTGGCCACAAGTGACCTGCACAAGGATTTTGAAGTTATAATGATACTCTAAGCATGGCAAAATTGACTTGTATAATGAAATGTAAAAAGATTGATGACAATAAGCCACTGGTTCTTTGTCTGATGAAGCCATGTGTATGACTGGTTTGGGATTTTTAAAATGGAGCCATGTTTGCTCTCTCAATGGCACAAACCTACAACATTTTCTACCAATTTCAACTGGCGTACCCCAGAAGAATAGAGGTACTACATGCAACAAATAAATTGTACATAATATGCTCTCCCGATATGACTTTTATGAAGACCAAATACTAAAAGGAAAAACATTAGCATGCAAGAAACAGTTTGCATTACCCAATGACAGGAAGCAATTCAATATTTTATCACCGTTGGATATTTAATCATACAATTAACATTCCTACACTTTTCACAAATAGTCTAGGCAAAAGGTATATAATAAACATTTTCATTTCG